TGCAATTCATTATTTACTACCATGTAAAATCATGAAATCCTTGGACACGTAAAACTGGAGCAAATCATGAAATTCTGGACGCATAAAACTAGAGCAAATAACAGTTAGACGAGTTTGGCTTACCAAATGATTTTATCACAATGGACAATGTACTACTCCCTACGATTCAAAATAAGTGCCGTAGTTTTATTTTGGACCGGAGGGAGTACCAAGTAATATTGGAGTCGACATGCCAATGAAATCATCGATATTGCCTGGTTTCATAAAACAAGAGCGATGCCGTGTTACCATGCTAGGAATTCGAGGTCTTGAGGATATGGGTGAGCCTGATTGAGTGCACAATGCACATGCTACGGGGATGAGGAGGTAGCGGTGAGAGGAGGATGCAAAGCCAAAGAAACATTATTTTCCAACACGTGAAGTTTGTCTTATATGTTTATTCCTCGCCACATTGTCAGGTTTATCATTTTCGACTACATGACACATGTGGTAAGCAACCCAAACAACTAAAAAAAAGGTTTATCGTTTTCGACAGCGACCGACGTGCCTTATGAATTACGTTTCTTTGGCTATGTAAGTTCATAAGGGGTGTGTTAGGCGAACACAAACGGTTCCAAGGGTCAAAAATAACATTTAATTATTATTTATGTTTCCATGATATGCTCATGAAAGAATAAATTATTATAATATTGTGGAAGCAGGTAAGATCAAAAGGTGGAGAAAACGCAAAAGTTTATCATTGGATGGCATAGGTACCTCTTATGAACTTGATGAAGGGAACCGTCACCATGATCGTAAATTTCCATTTGTAAGATTTGAGGAAATGTCCATGGCAACTCACAACTTCTGTGAAACATGTAAGATTGGACATGGAGGCTTTGGCAAAGTTTACAAGGTAACACGTTCAACAATTTTCTATATTATTCATTGTAATATCAATATAATTAAGTGGTTCATGAATCTAGGTTTTACCTTAAAATTGTCTAGGGGATGTTAGGTGGTCAAGAAGTTGCCATCAAAAGGCTTAGTAAGGATTCTCAACAAGGAACAAAGGAATTCAGGAACGAAGTAATTATAATTTCAAAATTGCAACATAGGAACTTGGTTCAACTCCTCGGGTGTTGCGCGGAAGGGGATGAAAAATTGTTGATTTATGAGTATATGCCTAACAAGAGCTTGGATGCTACCCTTTTTGGTACATACTCTAGCAATACACCATCATATATCATATAACAACTCAAAAACATTTTTTGCTTACATTCCTTCTATTTACAGACGACTCAAGAAAATTGTTACTAGATTGGTCGACACGGTTCAATATAATCAAAGGGATAGCAAGGGGACTTCTTTATCTCCACCAAGATTCAAGACTGACAATAATTCATAGAGACCTGAAAGCTGGAAATGTTTTGCTAGATGCAGAGATGAAACCCAAGATAGCGGATTTTGGTATGGCGAGGATCTTTGGCGATAACCAGCAAAATGCAAATACTCAACGCGTTGTCGGGACCTAGTGAGTATCCATTAGAAAAAATATCATACTAAATTTTGAACAAAGAACTTTCAATTTAGTAACTCTTGCAACTGAAATGATCAAGCAGTGGCTACATGGCTCCTGAGTACGCAATGGAAGGCCTCTTCTCTACCAAGTCTGATGTATACAGCTTCGGTGTGCTACTATTAGAGGTTGTAACTGGCATTAGAAGAAATTCGAATGGTCAAACCATGGGTTTCCCTAGCCTCATAGTCTATGTAGGTACACCGAGGACTTCTCACAAGTTTCATTTAGAAAAGTGGATCTAGTTTTGAAAACATTTTAAATTTTGACTAACGAAAAAAATGATCTTCTTGGTTGTTTCAGTCATGGAATATGTGGAAAGAAGGGCGGGCAGACGAGTTACCAGACTCAACTATCATGGATGCTTGTTCACTAGATGAAGTTATGCTTTGCATCCATCTAGCACTCTTGTGTGTCGAGGAGAACCCAGATGACAGGCCACTTATGTCATATGTTGTATTCGTCCTGGAGAATGGAAGTACCACACTTCCGGACCCCAATCGTCCAGCCTACTTCGCGCGGCGAAGAATTGAAATGGAGCAAATAAGAGAAGATATCCAGACTTCTGTGAACAGTTTTACTCTTACCGAAATAGAGGGACGTTGAAATAGCAATTCTTTTGTTTCTAGATGTATTGAACATTGCCAAAAGAATGCATGCCTCAACAAATGGCCATGCATTGTGTGTAGTTCAGAAGTCATTATCTTTGAATGAGTTTCTATTCCGTTTTGGCCTTGATAGTAGTCTCAGTAAAATTAGTAATCAAGATACTTACAATAACAAAATTCAGTACTTGCAGATAACACAAAGTCGATGAAGATAATTTCACATTGGACACAAGTGATTAGGTGGGGTCGTTCTTACGACGGGTTTTGTGCTTATTTGCTAAAGAAATGACAGGACGTTCAGACAAAATCACAGAGCAAGCACGCTGACTGAGGTGAAGTGTGCATGCATTCATACACAGTCTAAACTGCGAGTGATCGAAATAGCCATGTGGTGGATTTTCAGTCCAATCATCAGAAGCAACTCAGCAAGGTGATTTAGGCAGGTTCAGACTCAAATGATTTCAGAAAGAAAACACAGCAAATGGTTCTCAGTATAATCCTTTTACAGGAAGCACGTTGAGCCAACTCTTGGCGTTTATATGGTTGGCACCGAGATCCAAGAAATAGTATTCTAACCAACGACAAGTTATGGAGTTATCTTCGGGAAGGAGAAATGAGTTGCCAGTTGTGTGAATGCGATTAGACAATTGATCATCTCTTTCTGAAATGTTTCATAGCTAAAGCTGGTTCGGAATATTTTAAAATGTACATTAAGTCTAATGGTACTTCATTTTTCTTTCTTCCGAGAAATGGCCAAGATCATGCACGGTGTACCCTTGTGCATACTAATAACTCAACACATGGAAACAAAAATGCAACCTGTAGGCGTCGAGAAGATGCTGTGTCAAGATATGGAAACAGGCAAGGAGACACAGGTGGAGCAAGCACCAATGAACGGTACAACAAGAGCTACACAGGAGCCCACCGCAACCGAAATAAAGGCTGGAACAGAATTTAAGATAATGGTTCATGATGAATAAATATCGGCTAACACAGCCAAACCAGTGATCAGTATGAAGAAATGACCTTTATTGATAAGCTACCAGCAATCTAGGTTGCCAGTCAGGGTATACATCCGATGCCTCTCCTCAATGGGGGAGAAGACCAGATAACAACACAACACACACCGACCGATGGATGTTGGCCTTCCTCTGGACTGTGTTGCCTTCCTATCTTGGTATACACACACACAGTCCCTCTAAGGAAGGCCGGTATAATGGATGGCTCAGTTGCTGAGCCTATCCCATGTATAGATGTACCAGGAGGATGTACCAGCTACAACCATCCTGCCAATGTACAACATCTACTGCCTACAGTATACTCTCTCTGCTTTGCCAGTCAGCCGAAAGTCCGGAACAGAGCATGCGCCGGGGGGAATGGAAAATCTGCGGTTACCCAATGAAAGACTCCCGCTGAAGGTGGGCCTACTGATCCAGGCTCCGGTTCCTTCGCCAATGCGAATGTGCATTGTGGAGTCATTGCTATTTCGCCACGTAGTGGCGGACCAAGTCTAAGTGGCCCATGTTTCAGTCATGGTAGCGTCAATGTCAGATGCGAGCCAGTAATCAGCATCAACCTGCAAAAAAATTGGAAGAACGTGAGTATCGAGCAGCCTTGGTTAGTTGGGTCTGTGATGCCGTTTTAATAGCATTCCTTACATCAGTATCTGGCAGTAAGATTTTCAGAATGCCAGACATCGGTTCATGTGTACTGGATGGTTCCGATGTATGCTTGCCGACAGTGTCGCCCTCTCCCTTTTCGGGAGCTTGACTTGGATGATCATCCACCGGCCTTGGAGCATCTGAACCTCCAGCTGTGGATGCATGACCCAAATTGTCTTGCGCCACCTGCTCTGGGTCGGATACCCCCTGATGGTCACTGGCAGAAAATAGCAGCTTCGTTAGTACTATTGAGTGTGAGTTCTACAATAAGCGGTTTGCGGCAGTTTACCTTATCAAAAAGCAATCAATGGGACCCATTGAACTTCTCAAGAGAAGCTGGTAATGCTTTTCTTGAGATTCCAGGTCCTTGCAGATGTCCATATCCTGGTACATGAAGTAGTGTCAACAACAAGAAAGATCGATCAGCTATAACCACATAGCTGAAAGGTCAGGTTGCTTACCGCATTAGGATCTGGAGCCTCAACACAGGTTCCGTGAGGAGCATTTATTGCAATAAGAGTGGATCCCTGCAATCAGTGGGGCAGTTGTTGAAATGCCTTTGTGATTACAGGAAGAAGAAACAGACATGAAGCAAGGAACTTTCTTACCTGTAAGTGAGGAATCTTACAAATATCTTCCTTGGAAAGATACAACCACCTAAACAGAAATAGATAAGGACTCGGTTGATTGTAGCAACAAATATTATTTGTGAACATAAGAGACGACAATCTTACTTTTTTTTGTCCTTATTTAGTTTGAGCGCCAGCAGTTTCTCTTGTGCTTCTCTGCAGAATCAGTAACTATTCATCAAAAAAGAGACCAGCGATCAGGTATTTTTGTTGTTTCGGTGAAAAGAAGGAACTTACCGTATTTCCTCATCCAACCTGCATTCTTCATCATGTGATGAGTCCAGTTCCTCCTGTAATATAATCAAATGAAACTTTATACAAAAGTTTAGGACAATAATGCTAATGTTCAGGTCGACTGGCTTGCTGTCAGAATATGGGCCTGCTAATTTGCATTTTGTGTCATCAGGAAAAAAAGGGGGATTGCATTTTGCAGACAATACTGTGAACTTTGAGAAAGGTAGAAAGCCCTCAGTCAAACGAAGTGTGCTTAAGATAGATTAATGGAATTCTGATATGTGCTTTATTCCTCTGGTTATGTTCGATATATTCATAATGACTTGGATATTTCCTAGAACTTTAATATGTTTACAAGACAGTGGGCGTGTTGCATCCACTAAATCATCGGTATACACCATTCACTACAGAAACCCTTTGCTGCGACACCCATGGTCTGATTAGTCATATAATTTACAATTAGGAAACTAAATGCAACTGTAGAAAAATGAGCAAATAAACGTCCCTCTGTAATAATGAAAAATAAATTAAAGCATAATAATGCACGGTTGCACGCACAGTGTATGTATATAAAGCATGAATATAGTAACAAAAACAGAAAAACAGAAAATGAAGATCATACAGTTGAGTAGTATAGTGTACCTTCAGTGCAGAAGTTTGGAGCTCCATCTCCTTGGGCAGTAACATGTCAAATCCCCTTCAGATGTATTTATTTCATCAGTAAAAAGCTATGACAGGGAAAATGAATTAACAGCAGAAACATGGGACACTTACTTCCAACGAATCATATTCTTCAGGCCCTTTTCAATTAAATCTACACCTTCCAGGACATTTGTTATATCATATATCCTCCGCTTTTGCACCTACAGAAATTAATAAAAATAAAAGATATTAAAGCACTAAACTCCAGACAATGAAAAAAGAACAGACACCAACAAGGCTGAGACAGTACAAAGCAAATTTCATTTTGCCATATATTAAACCAGACCTCCAGTATCTCAACTGCTTTATTTAAATCAAGGGTTCCATCTTCTGCTCCTTTAAGCAGGTTGATGAATTTCTTTGTCAGCAGACCTGGCAAGAAGAAAATAATAAGCAACAAACATACATCATCACTTTTTTAACTTTGGAAGAACAACGGCATACTTTACCTAGTGAACTGTCATAGCGGCAGTTGTTTGCTGCATCTCCTGAAAGTAAAATTGGTGCCGTCAACAAATGACTATTATATTAATCAATTTGGTTCAATAATAAACTGGAAGTATTACCATCAAATGACCAAAGTGACGCACATCAAATATTTTGTAAAGTGACTTAAATGTAACCAAGAGCGCACCTTCAATTGATGCATGTGGTTTTCTTGCTCGCTTGATACCTTTTGTTGGTCCAGTGGTACTCTCCTTATGATGCCCTTGACTAATCTCTCCCTTCCCAACTTCAGACTGGGCATTTTCTATTTCAATTTTCTGCTCATTTTCCTAAATCATGTGAAGAAGATACATGAAGATGTTGGTAACACTTATAGTCTCATAGGTACACTAACTCGCTAACAGAGTGCAGCTAATTGCCCAACCATATTAGAACACTATGTCATTTCTAAAGATGAATTAAGCATCCATGAGTCTTGAAATGGACGGTATGCTGTGCTAACTTGCTAACTGTTTTAAAATGAGGATATAATCAAAACAATTCAGCAAGTATAAGCCCTCATTCGAAGGGGTGAAAATGGAGTTAGGATATATACACTGCAAAAACAGAGTTGACTATTTTCATAAGAAAACTGTGCACAGTGTTGCACTATAAGTTCAGTACCAGGACAGTCTTATCTCATAAGGCCAGGTGCAAAAGGTCATAAACCCTCAGCCTAAAAATCATCCAGAGACATTATATGCTGCTACAACTCACTTTAGACATTCAAGGTGAGACTAAAATCATAACTACAAATATACTTAGACAACTGGGTCACCACTCCAAACATACACATAGAAAATGCTACTATGGCCAGTTATACTGAAGAGAAAGATAAGTGCATAGAAAAAGTAAATGAGGATGCATATATATAAACTAAAGCTCACATACACAATGTTGCTTTACTAAATACTAGTCTTCACCTGAGATGTTCCCTCCAAAACAGAGCACGTCAATCGGACGTCGATTTCATGTTTGGAGTGCAGGTTTGTTTGGAAACCGCAAGAGTTTAATCTAACACGGCGATCATAACAACGCACATTGGCCGTACAGCTAACCGTGGGAACATTACAGTGTTGCCCTTAGCCATGGTAGAGTTCACTGGATATATTACCACTGCACAAAGGACCATTCAAGCTCACTGTCAATTGATTCAGCTAGCAGAAACTCTTACTGAAGAAACCCTACAGGAAAACAGAAAAACCCCAATCGAAATTCACGGCGCCGTGAGCTGAACGATCGAATGTGGCAACGAAGAACGGACACTAGGATCAATCACGATTTCTCGAACACACGACGCAGGATCGCCGCAATTAACTACGAACAGACTGAAACAGCAATGCTGAATGTAGTACATTTCAATTGACTTACCGGCGCCTTGGACTTGGGTCTCCCTCTCCTCCTGGCCGGCGGCACGACGTTCTCGTACACCGGCTGCGGCGGCCTAGGAGGCGGCAGCAGCTGCGCGGGGGAGGCCTGGGGCGGCCGCGGGGGCGCCGCGGCGGCGGCAGCGGGCGCGGGAGGGGGCGGCGTCGGGGGGCGAGCGGCGATGTAGCGGGGACCGGGGAGCCGCGGGGAGTACACTGGGATGGGC